GACCACCAGGTAGATGCTGCGGGTAGCTCCAACAGGGAGGGAGGCCAGGGCTCCCAGGCAGGCCCGCAGCTCCAGGACACTCATTCACATCTTTCTTGCCCTGGGGTCAGACCTGCATGTGCACATGCGCACACACAGGACCAGACATACAGCTAAAGACACAGAGCCCCATACCCCACAGACACAAACCATTTCCCTACAGACATGCACGCCTGTGGAGATGCCCAGGTCCTGCCACACACAGAGACATATGCACTCCTGCTGACACCTAGAGAAACCCTTGTGTCCCCTCACATGCATCACTTAGACCCCGGAACAAACAGACACATGTGCAGGCACATACACCTATAGACTCTCAGACATTGGTTGTGCATGTGCGTGCAAGCGCACACAAATGCGCGCACACACACACACACACACACACACTTGAAACCCAGTCCCTGACATGGAGTTGCAGAACTTACAAGGAGAGAGGCACCTTTAATCAGAACAACAAACCAGGGACTGAGGAGATAGCTCAGCAGTCTAAGCACCTACCTGGCAAGCATAAGGACCCTGGTTTTATCCCTGGTACTGCATGCCATGCCAGCCCTGTACTGAGCCAGCCCACTGAAACTGGTCATGGTAGCACGTTTGTAATCCCAGAACTGGAGAGGCTGAGACAGGAAAAACACTACAAGTTCTAGCTGCATACTGAGACCCTGTACCAAATAAATAATAGATTTTTTAAAATAAAATTTTAAAAGGAAGAGCAGCAAAGCAGAGAAGATTAAGCCCACTCAACACCCAGGGTGACTTTCTGTGAGCATAGTGGGGGCAGCAGGTCAGATGTCACAGTGGGCAATGTCACTGTGAGCAGACCCCTTGCCCCACCCAGGAGCTCCTTGTTGGGTGGTCCCAGGGGCAGGTCCACATGCAGGATGACACCGCAGCTCACCAACTCCTCTGGGCCTCAGATGAACATTCTTCGATGCCACTTGAATTTCAGACATGAACAGGAAATGCAACTTACAGCTTGGGAAAGGCCTCTGAAAAGCAACCTGCCTGTACACCACATACTCGCTGCTTCTCTTTTAGTGGTGTTCTGTTTCTTGTGACACTGGAGATTGAACCCAAGGCCTTTGCACTGAGCTATATTCCCAGCCCATTTTTTGAGACAGGGTCTCACTAAGTTGCTAAGTTGCCCGAGCTGGGCTCCAACTTGTGATCCTCCTGCCTTAGCCTCCCAGAGTGCTGGGATCATGGGCATGCACCACCACACCCAGGTCATACCCAGCATTCCTTGCAAACAAAGGAGAAACAACACTAAATTGAAAACAATAGCCACGTGTTCCCCACTTTCTCTTTCCAAATAGGATGGCACAGTCCACACTGCTCCAGGAAGACAGATTTTCTGCTGAGTAGAAGGGCAGGACAGGTACATAGACCCTGTCTCTGCAAAATCCACCTGTTGTCAACAGTGAGCCTCTCCTTTTTACTTACCAACAGGATATTGAGGGTCAGTGAGCCACAGAAAAGGATCTGTGAGGGCAGCCACGCCTCAAGACAATGGAAAAGATCCAGAGTGAAGAAACAAAAATGAAACACAAAGGAATGGAGAATGTACCAAACTTTCCTAGTGAAGCTTTCAGACATTTCCAGCATGGAAATCTAAAACTGTCCCTTAACCAGGGACAACTGGTGACGTGATTTTAGAGAATGAGCCGCCACCCAGCCTGGCTGCAGGTGCTCTTCTGGGGGACTTTTCCTCCTGGTTTGTGACCACTGGTGACACTGGGTTGTTTTTGTTTTGTTTTGTTTTGAATGTATTTAGTATAGGGTTTACAGGATCTCACTACATAGATCAGACTCCTTGTGATTCCTGTTTTCAGACTCCCAAGCGCTGCCACACCCAGTCTCAATCCCTGTCTCTGTGTGCCCTGGGGGGTGGGACCCTCATAGCAGGCCAGGGACCAAACCCTCAGCCCCTGCATCTGCCTAAGCAGGCACTTTAGTCTGCTGAACTATCTGGCCAGCTCCAACACTGGGCTTTTTCCTCCCATGTCCTCTCAGCAGCTTCACAGGAAAAGGACTGCACCTGCCCGTCCTGCCAGTGAGCCACGATGCTCTGCTGAACACCTGAGCCTCTCGAATGGTCTGTGTGAGAATGTTGCGTATAGCATCCACCTCTTATTTCTCAGCTGCAGAGGGAGGTAGGCCTAGGACCTGTGGCCTGCTCTGATCAGCCAGGAAGCTGAGGTAGTCCCGCCCAGCACAGGTCTCCTTGCTCCTCAGCCAGTCCTGCTGCCATCAGCCTGCCCCAAAAGGACTCAAATCAGAAGATGCCCACGTTCTTCAGGCCAGAGAAGCTCCAATGGTTATGCCTTGAAAGATGGGGCTTTGCAGTAAGGGTACAGTTTAGACCCAAAGCTAAGCAGAATAAGATGTGGTGGCACAAGCCTGTGATCCCAGCACAGCAGGGGGGCGAGGCAGGAAGATCAAACTTTAAGCCCAGTCCGGGTGACTTAGTGAGACCCTGTCTCAAAATGTAAAAGAAGAGCTGGGAATGTAACTCAGTGCAAAGGCCCTGGGCTCAGTCTCCAGAAGAGACCTATGAGTCCCCAAGGGAAAAAAGGAGACAGGGGAGGAGCTCAGTGGAAGGAACAGGCTTGGTATGCACAAGGCTCTGAGTCTGGCCCTCAGAAATCAACAAAAGCATGCGCGCGCGCGCGTGTGTGTGTGTGTGTGTGTGTGTGTGTGTACAGAGCACCCTGGGAGCACAAGACAGTTAAATGCACTAAGCTGTACAATGACCCTGAAATGGTTTCATTTTTCATTTTCTTTTTAATCTCTGAGCCTCAGCATCTTAAAAAAAAAAAAAAAAAAAAAAAGCCTTAAAATCACTACTGTGCTTTGCCCCTTGCTGGATCGACTTCAAATTCACTCCAGTGTCTGCAAAACACAGACGGCTCATTGTAAACACCAGAGTCACAAAGGCAGCAGATCATTTTAATAAGAATTCAATGTGCAACTCAGAATTTTGCAAGTAAACTTCCAACATCTAGATTTACTCCTAAGAGACATCCTGAGCCCTGGAAGTGAGAGGGCTTTTGACACCTCCAATGCACCAGGCATCCCCCAGGAAGACAATGGAGATAGAGCCTGAGGCTATGAAGCCACATCTAGACAGCAACGGGGAGGCCAGCTCCCCCAACCCCAAACATTTTTAAGGCCATGTTCTGGTCAGTAAGGAGTCTTAAGTGCTTAAAGAGATGTCAGATCAGAGTACTTTATTACAACACACCAACACTTTAAGATGCCACCACACCTAGTTTCTGGGCCCGAAGGCCTGCACAGCATGTGGTATCAGGGATCGAACTCAGGTCCTTGCTCCATGCGTTTGCCAGACAGGTGCTTAGACCACTGAGCTATCTGTTTCCCCAGCCCACACCAACACGTCCAGGTGGATATAACAGTATATAACATGCAGCTCCTTCTGGTTTGAAATTGGCAAAATTCTTAAGGTCCAAGTAGGTGGCTTAACACTCTTTCATCAGTGTTTTGATTCTAAAGTCCTCCCTAGACAGTGGCAGAGGAAGAGTCTTTTAAATTTGCAAAAATACGTGATCAAGTCTGTATTTTGAACATGCAAATGGCGTGTCTGATGAAGACTTCATACTCCAGGAATCTGACACTGAAGTCCTATATAATACGTATCTTATGGTCCTGGAAAACAGCCCTGCTTTCAGAGACTTTGCCTAAGTAATTAATAACAGCTTGAGATCATTTTTATACTGCCATCTGAGCACAAACACTAACCACGCACAGCTTTGAGTTTTGTCAAAGGACGAAAAACCATACAATCAGGATCCCGTGAGCAGCAATTTTCTGAGCCCATAAATTAGGGTTTCAGTGACAATGTAAGCCACACCAAGATGACATTATTCTCCTTCACCTTCCAAAATGAAACTGTCATCAAGTAGGAAAGAGAGGGGTGTTATCGATACTCCTGCATGTTACCGTACCCACTTCATCACAGCCACCCCGATCAATTAACAAAGCATGTTTTGTTTGGAGAATGAATGGCAACGGCTTCCTTCGGTGCATTTGATTAGAACTTGAAAGCTGTGGCTCGCTGCCATCCAGGCCGCCTATGGGTTTCCAACAGTCCAATGTTCAAACACACTCAGTAGCCCCCCCACCCCGTGACACTGGGGGACATTCAGCAAGTCTAAAGTTTGTGTTGTGAAGGAGTTTTTGCCATTACAGGGCAAATAAAGGAACATTGTAGCAACACCTGGAGACACAACATGAGACCTTTCGCCACACCAGCATTGATAAATAGTTCACTGAGTGAACCAAAGATTTTTATTTTTTGAAAAGCAGGTAACACCAAAGTACTATATGGTATCCATAATTCACTGCAAAAATAATTACTGGCACTTCCAAAACACTGGTGAACAAAGCTGAATCAACAGTTATAAATTTCAACCAATGCAGATTTTTGCCCAAGGGCTAGGCTGGATTTCTACACGAGTATCCATTCACAGGAGTTCCCTGTGCCAGCGAAGTCTCAAAGCTGGGCCTCCGGAAAGGCGAGCCCAGCTCTGTCTCGATTTCAAAATGACACAGCAGCCAACCTAAAACTCTGGTGGCAGCTTGAGGCCCAGAAATCAAGTTGCTGTTATGTAACAAAGGGAACTCTGAAAAAATAAAATCAGACTTTGGATTCCTTTAAGACAAGGCTGGTGCCCCAAACTACCAGCACCTGGATGGGCCCAACCAGGCTTTCCCTCCTCACTCTGCTGGGAACCCCAAGAGCCCCACTTTGAAAGGCTGTTAAGAACCATACTGACCCCATGTAAGGACAATGGATAAAATTATCCACTTGTAAAAAAAATTATCGGGGGCCTTCCCCCTAGCTCAGTTCTTTAAGTGGCTGCTTCAACACAGCAGTCAGGCTCAGGTTGCTGTGGTTCGATCCCCACAACTCCAGCCAGCCAAACCTGCCCTGAAGGCATTCGGAGCAAAAAAAAAAAAATCCTTAAAAAAATTTATCCACTTATTTTTCTAATAAGAAAAAGGGAAAAGGGAGCCACGTATGGTGATAAGCATGTGAAACCCTAGCTACCTGGGCAGTCAAAGCAGAGGGAATCATTTGAGTCCAGGAGTTCAAGACCAGCGTGAGCAACACAAGACCCTGTCTCCTAAACCAAGAAAAACAAAAGTATACACTGACCAATGGGAAAATGATACCCATCCTCCGGTTACAGAAAACAAATCTATAAAACCCTCATTTCCAATGTGTTTAAGATGATCAAAAGGAGGTCACGAGAGTGGTTAATACTATCAACCCTAAAAAAATCCCTTCATATAAAGTGGTGCTGAAGATCCGAAGGAACTAAGGGAAGGCAAACGATGCTAAGATCCAGCCCTCATTTTCTTTATTGTGCCCTTATGACCCTGCGGATCTGGGTCTGGCGGGTGCCAACAGCCCTTCCTTGCACTTAAAAGAACATTAAGAAATTAAAGTGAGCTTGAGTGCCAAAAAAGCTTGCAATTACAGAATCTAAGAGCCAAACAGTCTCTAAGGCAAGATTTTTGTCACGGGAGGGAAGGGAAGGACAAAACGACAGGTGCGACAGGCTGCCTCAGCCAAGGGACCAGGCACAACAGTCTCAAAAATAAGGCAAACTGTGGCTTCTCAGTTTGAGACCAGCAGAAGGGCCCACTGAGGCAGGAAGGCAAATCACTGGCGGACAGTCAGGTGGTGCAATGTCACAGTCAGGGTGGCTTTGGGGTCACGAGTGGGTGGGAAACCCTGGAACCCAAACTCAAGGTCAACGTCTCTGCAAGTCCTGCGCATCTCTCCAAGCAGCAATTTCTGGAATGTGGAGGTTTGTGACTTCTGCGACATTCACCCGCCAAAAGAAGACACGAAGGTGGAGAGAAGAGATGGGACCACTGGAGCTGAACCTGTCCCAGGGGTGGGCTGGGTGAGTGTCAGGCAACCTCCAGCAGCACGCAGCTCCCTCCACACCTGGCCATGTCCTACAAGCGCTTGTAGGTGCCCAGGAGGGCTTTACAGTTGGGACAGTAGTGGTCCACATCCTGCAGGGCGTCCACGCAGAAGGGGATGAAGCAGCAGCCCAATACACACCTGGGAGAACAAAAGGCCACAATGGCGCATGTTACCCACTGCAACAGGTTAGACAGTGCCCACCATAAACCCACGTTCATGTCCTATCTGAGGACCTGCAGAAGTGACCCTCCACTGCGTGATCAAACACAAAGGTGAATGTTCACATTTTTATATATTTTTTGAATTTATTTTGTAGTACCAGGGATCAAACTCGGGACTTTACGCTTATGCCACTGTACTATCTCCCTGGCCCTTACATTTTAAAACAGTGTATTACAATGGTCATCGCTCAGGAGGCTGAGGCAAGAGGCTTGCTGTGGGCTGGAGACCAGCCTGAGCTACACAGTAAGTTCAAGGCCAATCTGAACTACATAGCAAGACCCTGTCTGAAAAAAATTGTTTAGTATAATAAAATACCCATTACTATTAATCTCCTCAAAATCCTCCCCTTGCTTCAAACATACTAAACGCATCATTCTTGCCATTTTCTGGAGTCTTCTTTCCTGAGTGTCTTTGAGAGACGTGATCAAAATACATATGAGCCCTGCGGCCGAGTGCCACCAACAGCAAGATGGTGCAAAAAAAAAAAAAAAAAAAAAAAAAATCACCCCCCTGCTGGCTGTGTTGCAGATGCAGCATGCATTAAGTTTTTGTTGTTCCCCATAACCAAAATGAAATCGATTCAGGACACTGAGGCAGCCATGACAGCACACACAAATGTCATAGCAGCCCTAGGAAAACTAAGAGCACGTTAGGTCCACAGAAAGGATTGATGGACTGTCCTGGGGATACTTTCATCATTTGGGAACACTTGAGCATCCTTTAAGGGTTGGTAAACTTTTTTGTCTGAAAGGCCTCACAGTACACATTTTAGTTTCCATGGGCCACGTGCCCTGAGTTTTAACTGCTCAGTTGTGCCCTGGCTTTAGCTGTAGCGAATTCCTAAACAAATAGGTATGGCTGGGCTCCAGGAACCCTCAACCAGGTGTGGGCTGCAGATAGCCGTGGGCCATAATGACAGGTCTGTGTCTTAAGATCTCTTTTTCTGCAGACAAGCTGCTACTCATAGCAACAAGCTGCGTCTCCAAATGCCACCTCTCAGCCACATACTCTGCACACCACAGCTGAGGCAAGATCATCATGCATCCCTGGGACCAGTGTTGTGCCACACAGGCCACAAAAGGACAAATATGGAAAGATTCCACTACTGCAAGGAGGTAGATTTAGAGAAAGTAGAATGGAGGTGGCCAGTGATGGGTCTGGCCCATGTGGAAGCCAGCTCAATCACTATGGCGTCTCCACAAGATGGAGATGAGCCCAAATCAACTATCTACCTCTTCTTCTTCCCAGCACTCCCTCCGTCCCTTCCACAGCACACCAAGATGATCTACCTCTCCTCGCAGGATGATCTCCAATGAGCCCTCACAACGTCATTACCTCACCTCCCAAGGTCCCGCCCCCTTTAGGAACCTATAAACACAGCTGCCCTCCACTGTTTGGGCCCAAGGGTTCCCATGTGTCTTTCTTTGTGATCCTCCTGTGTCCACAATAAAAGCCTCCTTTATCTTTCCTGTTTCTCTGCTGCGCGCTGCCGCCACAGCCACCACCATCACCGCTTGGTAGACCGCGATAGCCAGATCACCAAAAATGTAGGTAAAAATCCTACATTTTTTATAGGAAGGAACGGATTCACATAAAGAGAACCTAAGAAATATCCTAAAGAGGAAACTGTGAAAGGGTTTTCCTCCTGATGTGTATGAGCTTACCCAGTTCAAATCTTGGCAGTGCCCAATATACTCACTGACCTTATCTTCAGCAGCCCCAGAGGGCACAAATGGAGAAAACAGTATAGGTGCAGGGAGGAGCTCCGGCCCCACTCACATTTAAGGAAGGGAAGGAAGCGGGGGCAGAGGGCCTACCTCCACTTCAAAAGCCAGATCAGCAAATATTGCTGACCTGCAATATTCCTTTTATTGTCTTTCCCAGCTTTTCTATAAATATTCAAAGGCAATGACATTTTATTTAACACTTTCTAGCCAAGGCATGAAAGCAGGAGCCCGCACTGGAGGGTACAGGCAATGCAGGGAACCAGCTGCCAAGAAACCTGGTTAAGCCACCCTCTTCCCCACTTAACGGTGACCTCCAGGAAGCTACCAAGATGCCCTGGGGTGCTGAGCCCTCGAGTTGAGGAAGTGAAATATTGTTCCTTCCTGACTTCACGTCGTGGGCACTTGGCAGCGGCAGTGCCAGTCCTCAGAAGCAGAAGGCTCCCAAGGATGCTCACACACCCTGCTTCCTCCAAGGGAATCAGCCAAGCCATGGTTCAGAGTAGCCCCACGGCCAGGAGGGAGGCTGCTATCATTACTTGCTTGGGAAAAAACACTCAATTGTGTTTCCTCAAACTTCTCTCCCAGAGCAGAAATGATTTCTTTAAATATGATGTCCTTGGTACAAACACAAAATTGATGTAATCCTCCTGCATTGAAGATGCCAAAGATACTCCAGATCATTAATGTGTAAGACTTTTGAGGACATTACTATGAAGTGTGTTAAGTATTGCCCGTTTTAAAGCTTCCTTCAGAGTCAAGCAAGGTCTTGAAATTCTAGAAGCAAAAGAAACCCTAAGGGTTCCCCCCTCCATGCAGGTGGGCGGCCGCTCCACCTGTCCCTACAGTCCAGGGAGAGGCTCAAGAAGGGTGAAAAGAAATGAGAGGCATCAGGAATCAGGTTCCAGGTGCCCAAAGGCCTCAGAGCAGGGTTGTCCACTGTGAGGACTCTGTACCCTCAAAGGGCACTTACTTGAATTAGAACATAAGTAGGGAGCTGCATGCATCAATCTGGTGGGGAGGGTCAGGGATGATGAAAAATATCCCACAGTGGCTGGGATATAGCTCAGTGGTACAGTGCTTGCCTAGCACACCCAGGCTCAGTCTGATCTCCAGCACTTCCACAATAAGATATCCTACCACGCACAAGACAGCCCCCACCACAAGGAAGTCCCCAGGCCCCAACACCCATATTGCTGCAGCAGGGAAGCCCTGCAGGGGTCACAAGGGCACTCACCCCAGCAGGCACAGGCTCCCGCAGGACAGCCAGGTGAGGGCACCGGCATTGTAGGACAGCTTGGTCACAATCATCTTGTTGCAGGAAGGACAGCACATCTGGACGGGACGGTCAAAAAAGGACACAGGCTGCTGCACAAAGACGGTCTGTACTGCTAGAAAAGAGGAAGGCAAAGGCTGCTCTACAAACAAGAGATTGCTGGGTAAAGCACAGAGAAGCCAGAATAGGGCTCCTGACGGCTGTTTCCAGCAGCACTAGGCTAGGCACAAGGACAGCACACACCCATAGCCCCCGGCATTCTGGGAGGTTGAGGCAGGAGACTGCAAGTTTCAGCCCTGCCTAGGCAACTTGTATAAAACAAAGGACTGGAGATGTAGCTCAGTGCAAAAGCCCTGGGTTCAATCCCCAGTACTGGGCTGGGGAGGGGAGGGGAGAGGAGGGGAAGGGAGGAGAGGGGAGAGGGTAACCCCAGTCACTATTCATGACACTCAAGCGACCACCCACGGATGAGCGGAGAAATCGGATGAGCAGAGAAATCGAAGAAATAAACTGCAGTCTATCCACACAGTGGGGGCATTATTCAACCTTAAAGAGGAAGGAAATACCCATACCTGCTACAATGTGAATAAACCCTGAGGAGATCACACTGTGTGAAATGAGCCAGTCCCAGAAAGACAGGGGTTATCTGACTCTACTTAAAGGTCACTGGAGTAGTCACACTCAGATACTGTAAACTGAAGAGTGATGGCCAGGTCTCTGGGGAAGTGGATCAAGGAGCTGGTGCTGATGAGGACAGTGTTTCTTTTTGAGGAGATGAACAAGTCCTGGAGACGGACCGCTGGCTCCGTCTGGGCTTGACATGTGGAATGGTATCTTATCTGAACAAGCTGGTGAATGTACTTAGGGCCACTGAGCTGTACTTTCAAATGGCCAAAAAGTGGGCTTTGTTATATACTGTATCAATAAAAAATACAGAAAATGGATGATGAGGAAACACTGGCAAATTTATAGAATTTTCGCTTGAGGGGCTCTTAAAACCTCCATGCAGAAGATGGGGAAAGGCTGCATACACAGTGCCTCCAGGTGTACAAATCCCACACCCACAGGATCCTGTGCCTGCCCAAGGGTCTGAGTCAGAAGCTGGGGCCAGGCTCCCCAAACCACTTTTCAAGCCTCTGAAATGGTCCCAGTAAGATGGCCCATGGGTTATAATCAGAGAAACAGTGAAGGGGTGGGTTTCAGCCCCAGTTTCCTGAAGCTACAGATTTAGTGGTTGTTGGGAGGAGGGAAGGGGCTACACAGAATTCGGGGAAGATATGCTAAAGCTACTGAGGAGAGCTGTTGAAGACCAAAGTTCAGACTGGGTACATAATAGCTCCGTGAAGCTCTCTTTAAAAACATTAAAGTTAACAAAGGTGTTACAAAGGCCCAGCAACATAAGCCACCATGTCCATACATGCAGCAAATACACACGCTAATGCCAGGCAGAGGAGGGTATGTGCAAACTCGTCTGGGCACCGGCTGGAGGACCTCTCCAGGGATAGGAATCGTTACGTACTCAAGTTCTAAAGCTTGTATTTCTGTCAAAGTGACTCCTCCCCTCCGTTCCTTTTTTTTATATCATTGATAGAATGCCATTCCTGTAATCTGTGCCTTGGGGGAAGTTCACTTCAGCCCAGAGCTACTGAGCTCCGTAAGGCCCACAGAAATATACTCCTTCTGGAAAAGCAGCACTGAGGCACACGTGGACACTAACATGTAAGTTGCAGCCGGAATTTTTTGATTCAAGACTGAAGTTATTTACTGATCACTGCATAATCTTAAAAAGCCTAACATTATTTCACCATCCTTCAAAACTTCAAGGTGTCAAGCTGAGCTCAACCACCAGTTGCTCACATATTACTGGCTGCTGGCTCTGTCTGTGCTTGCCATGTGGAATGGTATCTTATCTGAACAAGCCAAGGGAGTAGGTACCTGCTGAGTCCCGTTTCACAGACGGGGAAACTGAGGCATGGGAGGTTATGTGAACACAGATGGTCTGATTCATTGACTTCCTGTACTCAGGCCAAGGCAAGGATAAGGGTGAGTAGGGTGAGCTGGGAACAGGGGCCCTACTTACTTGTGTTGGCACTGGGGTTGAGGACGGGCACTGGCTGGGTATAGTACAAAGGAGGGTTGGTGCCTTTCCCATCTGGGCCGGTCATGAGCCCCGTGGTTGGTCCAGGCATGGGCGCAGGCGCAGGAGCTGGAGGCGTTGGGAAGTAATTGTTAACTGCCACCGTCTCTTCATAGGATGGGGGCGCAGTAGGCATGGAGGAAGGCCCGGGGGCTGCCTGGTAAGGTCCTGGAACCGACATATTACCTAAAGCAAAACCAGAAAACACCAGATAAGAAATTCACCTGATTGAGCCACCTCTAATCTTTCATCTTTCTAAAAATGGCCCAGCTTTATCTGAAAATGAAAAGAAATGCCCCTTCAGGATCCAAGGTCGCTCACCTCAATAGAGGCTTTCCCAAGTAAGAATAAAAAGGTATCAGACCCCCAAATCACCCCCTCCGACAAAACTCCAAGGAGAAGCATCAATCAAATTTGGGCAGTTCCTTCCTCAGACCACACCCAGGGCATGACGGTATTTTTCCTCCCCATACCTAGCGTTTCTCCTTTTTAAAAACCAGTGTGGTTTCCACTCATGGTTCCAGGTGACAGAAGTGATGAAGGCATTCGAAAACCAACCACAAACTATAGAAATAAAGTGCTGAGTAACAGCAGCCAGGGCCCAACAGACGCAGACTGTGTGGGGGGTGCAGGGGAAGGGATAGCAGGAACAGGGTGACAAGTGTTGGTTGAGACATTCAGGAGGGGGTGGCCAGGCATGTGGGAGAAGCTCTGAGGGGCGAAGCTCTGAGGGGCGAGGGGGAGCCGTGAGGGGGAGCCGTGAGGGAGCACCTCCCCCAGGGGCAGTCAGGTTTGTCTTCAACCTGGGGACATTGGTTTGTTTACTTCATAATAATTCAGGTTGTGCAATTAAGGTACGTGGCCTTTTTGTCACGTATGCTCTAGTTCTGTAAAAAGTAAACATGGTGAGGCATGTGGCAAACACCTGCAATCCCAGCCACTAGAGGCAGAGGCAACAGGACCAAAAGTTCAAGCCCAGCCTGGGCAACTTACTGAGATCCAGTGTCAACATAAAAATTGAAAAGGAAGGGCCGGTGAGGTAGCCCAGCAGACCAAGCACCTGCTTTGGCAAACGCAGGGACTAGGGTTCAATCCCAAATCCTGCAAACCGCACCGGGCCAGCCCCGCCCCTGGGCCGCAATGAGTCTGGACATGGTGGTGCACATCTGTAATCCCAGCACTGGGGAGGCTGAAAACAGGAGGATCACTACGAGTCCCAGCTGAGTAATGAGACCCTGCACCAAATACATAAATGGGGGGGGGGAAGGGTTGGGGAGGTAACTCGGTAGTAGAGCACTTGCCAAACACACATGAGCACCTGGGTTCCAATACCCAATACCTTGAAAGAAAAAAGGAGGAAGGAGAGCGGGGGAAGAGACCAGAGGAAGCACGGGGCCACACCCATTCGCACGGGGAAAGGTCCCAGAGAAGCTGGGCATGTATTTTCTTCCATGAGGGCAAAGAAATGCTTTTCCTCCCTGGTACTGCCAATGCTGGCCTAGAATGACATCCTTTGACCTGGGTGTGTTCCGGCGCAGTGGCCGCCTGGCAGCCTGGCAGCCGAAGCAGGACACAATAGCGCCCTTTGTGTGGCTGCGTCTCCTGCCGCGTTAGGAGCCATTCGAACCTTTCCGGGAGGACGAGCAGGGTGCCAGGACGGCTGTGCACGGCTGCCCACCCAGCCTGTGGGCTTCAGGCTCCAGAACTTCCAGAGATGGAGGAAGAAACAGCCTGCAGAAGGCGGAGGGGCTCAGGACAGAGGGAAGAGGGAAGAGGGAGAGGACGTCAGTGGGCGAGGGCTGGGTCCTAGGAAACCCGTGAGGGCCCCCAAAGCACCGGGATTTGTTGGAACGGAGCCACCCTGCAGGATTGTGGGGGCGATGGGCGTGACCTCCAGCTGGGCTTCCAGGGCTTGGCCAGCAGTCGCCTGAGGCTGCTGAGTACTTAAAATTTTTTGCTTTTAAATCTGAGTTTAAGTAATTTAAATTTAAAAACAGGGGTTGGGGTGGAGCTCAGTAGAACAGCAACTGCCTGGCAAGGGTGAGCCCCCCATCCCTAACACAAAATATGTAACTACTGGGACAGCTGGGGTCTGTGAACCTCATTCTGCAACTGTAAATCTGATGAACTCTGAACATGGATCAAAATGTTTTGATAATACAAAAAATGTAGCATCAGGCCAGGGATACAGCTCCGCGGTACAGTGCCCGCCTGGCAAGCAAGAGGTCCTGAATTTGAGGGAAAAAAAGAGAAAAACTAACACCCAGGTGGGCACAGTGGCACTTACCTGTAAACCCTAGATACTTGGGGGGCTGAGACAAGAGGAACCCAACGTGGAGGCCAGCCTAGCCAATTTAGTTAAGACTCTACCTCAAAATTTCAAAAAGCTTTTAGCTGGCAAAATAGCTCAGCAGCCTAAAGCACCTGCTTAGGCAAATGCAGGGACTGCGGTTTGATCCCCTGGCACCACGTCATGCCAGCCCCGCCCCCAGGGACCATCTGAGCCGGCCACAAAAAAAAAAAAAAGCTTTCAAAAAGATGGTGGAAGCTGGGGAGATAGCTCAGTAGAATAAGTGCTTGTCTGACAAACACAGGGTCCTGAGTTCAATTTCTGGCACCACACACACACACACACACACACACACACACAAAGATGGTGGGAGGGGCCAGGGATATAGCTCAGTGACATAAGCACCTGCCTGGCAAGCACAAGGTCTTGAGTTTGATCCCTGATACCGCACACACAAAAAAAAAAGATGGTGGGCATAGTTCAGCGCTAAGAACGCTTGCCTAGCACATGTGAGGCCAAGTTCTAGCCATAGCAACACACACACACACACACACACACACACACACAGCATGTGAGAGGATCTCGATATAAACAAAATGCTGCCTCGATTTTGAAAACAGTATAAAAATGTAAAATATATTTTTAATTTTACAAGTTATATGAGAAATGATCCTAGTTTACATACATGGGGTTAAATTATGAAAAGTATTCTTTTACAAGTCACTGCTTTCTTTATGCCTTTTACAATGTAGCTATTAAAAAACAAAACTGGCTCTTTCCTTGGGACCCGCCAACATGGGCCGCGTTTGTACCAAGACAGTGAAGAAGGCAGCCCGCGTGATCATTGAGAAGTACTATACGCGCCTGGGAAACGATTTCCACACCAACAAGCGCGTGTGCGAGGAAATCGCCATCATCCCCAGCAAGAAGCTCCGCAACAAGATAGCAGGCTATGTCACACATCTGATGAAGCGGATACAGAGGGGCCCTGTGCGGGGTATTTCCATCAAGTTGCAGGAGGAGGAGAGAGAAAGGAGAGATAATTACGTCCCTGAGGTCTCAGCCTTGGATCAGGAAATCATTGAAGTAGATCCTGACACTAAAGAAATGCTGAAGCTTTTGGACTTCGGCAGCCTCTCCAACCTGCAGGTCACACAGCCTACCGTCGGGATGAATTTCAAAACACCACGTGGAGCTGTTTGAATCTTTTTGCTGTGCTGTAATGTCAATAAATTTGGGACAGTGAAAAAAAAAAAAAAAAAACAAAACTGACTCCAGTTCCGCCAAAAAAAAACCCTGAAAATGCCCGAGGCAGCTCTCCCTCTGGCTCTACTGCGCATCACACTAGGGGAATGGGAGCCACGGAAGTTACAGAAAGGAGGAGCGAAGGACAGCGGAGGCAGGCCTCTCAGGGAAGAGCCACGCAAGGCCCCTCAACTCGATGGGGGGAAGAGGGCCTCACAAGATCCGAGGGGGCATTTATAAAAACCACTTCAGTTCTAAAGATGAGATGAACTGTGAAAAGTGGGTTGGAGTGTGTTGTCAGTTCACTTCGCCACACAGGAACAGAAATGGAGAAGAAACAGAGACCACAAACAGCACTGTCACCCCCAAAGCTAGGTGACGTCCTCTCAGGTGGCCCCAGGCGCCTATCAGCTGGCTCTTGCACACCAGCGGGGCTTATCCGCTCGGCTAGCTGGGGGACAATGTGCCCCCCACCCCGCCCCTGAGGTCACCCGCATGTGCCTGCTGCCCTCCGTGCCTGTTCCAGTAAGACAGACCCAGACCTGCCCACACAGATCTTACAAAAACTGCATCACATGAACAATTCCCCAGAAAACATCAGCTGTGGGTGTGTCTGGGAATCCTAAAATAGCACTGTGGGCCTGGGGAAGCTCAGATGAGGAGGGAAGCAGGATCCCTGCGGAAGCCACGGATCAGGCACATAGGCTGCAAAGCACAATGGCTCAATGGAATTCCTGGGGGTGGGGCCCCGAGACCTTGGAGGAAGCAAGGGCCTGGCCTGTGGCTCTGACCAAAGCCCGCACCCCCCTCCTCCCTACAGACTGGGTGTCATCCTGGCATGGAGGGGTCTTATCTTCTGGAACTTTACCGCAAGGCCAGAGAGCCCTGCTTTTAGTCAGACACATAAACACATTTATAATTCTGAAAGAAACAACAGCGTCAGGCCAGGAGAGTAAAAAGAAAACTCTAATCAGCTGGCTTGAAAGTTTTCTAAATTCCACAGCCTTTTTCTCTCAGGCCCCCAAGGCAGGGAAAAGCCGCTAAGCTACCCACCTTCCCTACCTAGCCTGAATGCTGTTTCATTTTCTGTCCCCCACCCCCATTTCTTTTTAGTTTGGCTTCCCCTGGGGAAAGGAGTTGGAGGCCACCTACTCCCCCCCCCACCCCTGCCTGATAGCTCAAAAGTGAAACCCTCCCCACCACACACACACACACACACACACACACACACACACACACACACACGAGCATGCCCACTGCTATCATCAAAAGTTAAGGCCACCTGGGTGTGATGAGGCCCTAGTACAAATTCGAACTAAAGTTTCCCCTTCATCTGGAACAAACAGAAAAGGTTAGGAAAGTTTAATGAAGCAGCACAGCCAGTTTAGCCATCCCGGAAGTGTAGCCTTGGAGAATCCCTCCAAGTAGCCCTGAGCAACTGGGTTATCAGCACACTCCTGGAGTCCTGCAGGCCAAGGAGTCTGGGTTGTCATAGCAACTGGAGCTTTGTAGGGGAAATACAGGCACACACAAGGGGCTCTTTCCTCCCTCCATGGTTGTTTAACTTTGTCATTAGGACCTGCCTGAGTGGGATTCTGTTGAGCCTCTAAAAGAGGGCTCATTGAAGGAGATTATGCATCCACCTCCACCC